GGAACATCATAAATAGGTTTGTTACAGATATTTATTCGTTAGACAATGGATTTTTAAAGAGATTTTATAAATGCATTTTCCTCTTTTTTCGACTTGTTCTGTCAGTCATTTTATTATTTTGTATGATGAAAGATGCCGTTATTGTTTTTCCTTTCATTGTTTTATTAATCTATTTTTTGGTTTTTAAAAAATATTCCAGAGGGTGTAAAGAGGCTCAAAGAGGATACCTAAGGTGTCACTCCCCATTATGTAACATATATAGCAACACGATATCAGGAAAAACCATAATTAACGTGTATGAGAAAAATTCCTACCATTTGAGTATATACGAGCGATACGTAGAGACCTTGAAAAATTATTACCTGCTAAAATGGGCAATAACTATATGGGCATCTTTCTACATTAGGCTTATCTTTTTAATATTAACTAGCTATTTCATTATGCATCCTCATATCTTTTACAACAGAATGGGAAATTTGTATCAAGGAAAAAATTACGAGAAAATTATAAGCACAATTGGGTATTGTATTACTTTTTCCTCAAGACTTGGGGTGTTAACAAAAATTCTCCTGTGTGATTATACCTTTGTGGAGAAAGAGATGTGTTGTGTGCAGAGGCTAGAGGAGTTCTCAAAATTACCGCATGAAAAAGATTGCTTAGAGGCAGAAAGGGGAGAAGTTACGCCGAAATGTGACGAAATGAAGACGAAATGTAAATTTGACAATGCGGGAGAAAGTACGTCCTCCCCCCCATTGCCTACTACCGGTATTGTAGAGCCACCAGCCATAGAGCAATCGAAAGAAAAATATGGTGTCTATCTCGAGAACGTATTCGTGAGTTACAAGAAAAAAGTTGTTCTAGATAAGGATAGTAATAAATATTGTTATGAAGATGAAGATCCATCCTTAAAAAATGTCACTATTTACGCTTTGAAAAAGCAGAAAATCGGCATCGTGGGCAAGTCAGGTTCAGGGAAGAGCACAATTATTTTGTCCATCCTAGGTCTGATTCCTACTGTTAGTGGAAAAATAACAGTAGAAGGAAGAGACATTAGAACTATGTCAAGGAGGGAGAAAAATGAAATTATCACCGTTTTACCACAGTCCTCTTTCGTTTTTCACAACTGGAACGTCAGAACGTTTATCGACCCGTATAGAAATTTTACCGATGAAGAAATTGTTAACGCTTTGGATCTGATTGGCATAAAATTGAACATGCATGATTTGCACAAGTACATATATCAACAAAAGAAAAATGCACATGATGAGAGGGAGAGAGAAAAAGAAGGTAAAAGGAAGACTAACATTTCGAGCAACAGTATTTCATTGACGGATGACTGCATACGGTACCTTTCTATAGTTCGTCTTTTCTTAAATAGGAAAAAATATAAGTTGATATTAATTGATGAAATTCCCATTTTTAATTTTACTAACGTGGACTCGAATTTGAATAACTTTCTCATTGGTGATGCAAAACCGTTTAATTATATTATAAAGAATTACTTCCCGGATAACACGATTTTAATCATTTCTCATGACCCCCACGCGCTATCCTGTTGTGATTTTATTTATGTGTTAAGGAGGGGGGAAGTGGCTCACCGTTGCAGTTGTAAAGATGTAAAGACGCAGTCCGAATTGGCACAGTTACTCGAAAAGGACGGCTAGCTAGGGCGTTTCGCAAATGTGCTCACATGTATACCTCTATATACCACGTTCAACCTGTTGTATGGAAGCTGCCATTTTGTGCCTTCTCTACCCACACTATTTGGTATAGGCTTTTAAAAGTTTACAGTGCGTGTTTTTTTTTTTTTTCCTTCCTTTTTCACACATGAACCTAACTTAAGAATAATCACTAACTAGAGAAGAGTAGAAATGATACAAGAGCAGTGTTCTTAAAATGCATTGTGAGAAAAAATAGAAAGGACAGAAAGGAATGCTCATCTCTTCACAGCGGTTCACAACGCTTCAGTTGAAAATTTTCCTGCACATGTGTGCATAGATAAATAACGTGGAAAGGCACCTTTAGGACGAAATGGGCGGTATTACATTTATCTAACCCGCATTTTCCTTTTTAATGGTGAAGTTAATTCGTGAGAGTAGTACAGGTGGTCCAAAATATCCCGTATCCTTTTCCCTATTTTAAATTTACCTTATTCGTTAAAACGGGGGAGGCATTTTTTTAAAGGCAAAAATTGTCATACATACATACCGAATGATGATGTAGAGAATAAGTTCACCCCGTCCAAAGGAGGAAGACAAAGGCGTAACCACGTTTCTGTACCTCTTGTTAGTGGAACATGCTACTAGGGCAAAGTTATTTTCACGCATTCGGGGGGTATCCCCCTCTTTTGGCCCCCCCCAAATGTCTCCTTCATAAAGTACTTTGGTTCACACTATTGCGCGAAGGAGGAGAGTGGGAACTTTTCGCCCTCATAAAACGCAAATGAAAAAGAAGAAAGTGAAATGTTCCCATTTGTTCTTTCAATTATGTAACATCATATAGGTATGTGTTCAGAAGGGAAACAAAATGAGTTGCTCTACCGGTACGGCCATTTGACACAATCCTTGTCCGTTTTTATTTCTACGAGTCGTGCACATCGATTGGATGAAGGAAAAAATAAATTAAAAAACATACAACAAATAAATCATTCACGTAGTTCGTTTCGCCACATGTTCCTGTTAATTATATTACCGAAAAAACATTTTATTCTTATTTTTTCTTCTTAAATAACGTTGTCTTTATCTGGAAAATGACCCCCGTTCTAAATTGCAATTTCAATGAGGTGCAGTATGCATTGCACTCCTAATAGTGTTTACTGCTCCTACTTGTAAAAAATATTGCGTAACGTAGAAGCCTTTTCCACTTTTATGCATTAATCCAACGTTGTGGTGGACGACGAGACGGGGAATACATGCATCGGTTGCGGAGGTTCAAACGAGACATGCCTGAAGAAATATGCATAAATGACGTTCGAGAATGAGTAAATGGGAGATGGGAGTGATTAGGGATCATACGCTAATTTGGGGAGAGTTATGTATCCTCATTTTGGAATACGTTTGAGGGTGTAATATCTTTGACTTTAACAATGTTGAAAATTTAGTAAGATCATCGAAGGGGTAAATTGTGCCAAAGAATAATACGCCTACCCCCCATGCGTTACCTTAACAATGTCCGGAATTGGAAGGATAAGAAAATGAGCAAAGGGAAGGAATGATTACCTATATTGCATATGCAAAGAGTAAAACCTATAGACGTATAAAGACCCATACACAGCGTGCCCATATGAGAGGCGAAATTAGCAAGACGATGGAGAAGATGAGTAAAAGCAGAATCGAATGCCCGTGGAATATTTAAGAGGGAAGAAAAAAAGGGCAATTCTGGGAGGAACTAAAGACAGATGAATAATCTGCGGACATGGTGGGATAAAAGGCCTGAATATATGTATAAGAATGACCTATTTCTGCTTGGAGTGTGGGACATGCAGTACCTATATGGTAAACAAATTAATAGAAATTTTTATTTGCGCTTATCCACTTTGATAGTTGAAAAATTGTTCACATTTCAGGAAAGTGCCCTTGGCAGAGTAAATTACAATCTGCGTGTTGGAAAAATTGGAGAGGTGAAAGGGGGTGAGTGGGATTGTTTATTAGCATTTTTATGAGCATATTTTTGAGCAGAAAAAATAGGCATAGATACCTACGTACCGTTGCATACGTCACTATTTTTTACATCACTTATGTTTATGCAAATGTGAGCAGTGGGGAACTCATCTTGGTGAAGTGGACGTATATTGAATAAAACGACACGGAGATTCTTCCAAAAGGATTATCAAAAACGGGAGATGATATTTGTTGGCCGGGAGGGGGGTTTGTAAAATCTCCGATTTGTGTGAAGTTTGAACTGGTAAAAATGAGCTGAAAATGTTCGCACATTTAATTAAAAAAAAAAACAAAAAATCGTTGAGGGACGTCCACGCCCATATTTACAAATCCGCGTATGCGAAGAGAATGTACCATTATAGGGAGCAGCACTTGTTTCAGTTCGCCTTATGAGTGTAACTTGCGCGTCTGCATCCTTTTCACATGTCGATGTGGTTCTCTATTTTTTCTATTTAGTATTATTTGCATGGGAATGCGAATGGCAAATTTTCACTATTTGGAATTGGAACATTTTTCTCCGTGAGAATTTATCAGTGGCGGGAAAAAAAAAGAAAGTGTAACCCGCATATGGAAAGACTTAGAATTTCATATGGTGAGAGTGATATGTAGCCCAGGCCATTTTTCCCTTGGTATGGTCCAAATAATTGAAAAAAAAAAAAAAAAATTATGTGGGAGGTGGAGCACAAAACTTACACATTAAATACAAATATATATCTCTATTGTAAACATAATAAAAGACATATAGACAAATATTATTTTAAGAGGAGGGCGTGGGAGATGAGTTATATATATTTGAACTGAACACTGAGGGAAATGTCCAGGAATTGTATAATGATAAATGATACAAAATTATTAACACAAATGATTAACACAAATGATTAACACAAATCATTAACACAAATGATTAACACGAATGATTAACACCAAGGGGAAGTGTACAAATGGGAAGGTTGTGATAACTCAAATAAAGATTTTTGTGCGTGCATATGTGTGCTTACAGATAAGAAGTTATCCGTAATTTTTGTTATTTATATGCAGAATTACAAAACAAAAGAAATAAATAAATAAAAAGTAACCAAATGGATGATTAAAAAAAGGAACAAATAAAATAACAATGTTTTATTTTTTATTTATTTATCTATTTATTTGTTTATTATTATTTTTTTTTCTTCCTTGTGTAGCTTTCTTAGCTTCGAATGGAATTGGTCCAACCGGCGTGGAATCAATGTTGTTGACGCGTGGTGTTACTGTGCGCACATACACACATTTATCACACAAGTATTGTTTCTTCCCACTTCCGTAATAGGCGCAGCGTTTTCTTTCGTACGTACGACTGCTCATTCATTTCTTTTTCTTCTTCTGCTTGGACGCTTCGTTTTCAGTCTCCATTTCGAATGTGACGTGTTTGGTGGTAGGGCTCTGTGTGCCTTGCGGTATGGCGGCGACGCTAGGGTTGTACGCGCCTTGTGGTATGGCCACGATGGTAGGGTTTTGTGTGCCCTGGGGTATGGCCACGATGGTAGGGTTCTGGGTGCCTTGGGGTATGGTGGCGATGATAGGATTGTATGCGCCTTGTGGTATGGCGGCGATGGCAGGGTTCTGTGTGCCTTGCGCTATGGCGACGATGCTAGGGTTGTAGGTGCCTTGGGGTATGGCGACGATGCCCGGGTTGTATGCGCCCTGTGGTATGGCGACGATGCTAGGGCTGTATGTGCCTTGCGGTATGGTGGCGATGATCGGGTTGTATGCGCCTTGTGGTATGGCGCCGATGGTAGCGTTCTGTGTGCCTTGTTGTATGGCAGCTATAGTAGGGTTCTGTGTGCCTTGTTGTATGGCAGCTATAGTAGGGTTCTGGGTGCCTTGTGGTATGGCTACGATGGTAGGGTTCTGAGTGCCTTGTGGTATGGCGGCGATGG